CTAAAATAGAATCTGGTGGGCAGCTGTGTTGGTCTGAAGCAGCAGAACAAAGTTTGAGTTCAGTGGCACCTTTTAAGACCAACAAAATTTTATTCAAGGGTATTTTCTGCATTTGCCCGTCACTCCGGATTTTCTTTTTTTCTTTTTTTCTTTTTTTTTTTAATTCACTTTTTATTGTTGAGTATATCCGTTTAACACAATCATAGTTCACTATTCATCTTATTGATATGCTCATTTTCCATTTTTAAACAATCTTGAACCAAACATACAAAGATACAAGAAAAAAAAAATCATCTGAGGTTACTAATACAACAGCCAATTTTTTTTTTATTTCTCTCTTTTATTCCCTCTTCTTTTCATATGCCCCTATCTTACCCGTTTGTGTATCCCGTCCAACTTCCCCATAACTTAATAGTCCTCATAATACCACACGAAAACTACAGTTTCTACTAACTCACATAATGCTAGATTCTTCTATCTATTTTCTTCTTCTGTACCTAAAACGAAAAGTTGAAAGGGTTGCCTCCGATTGTGGGCGCTGTAGAGAACCCCTCTACAGCGAGAGGCCAAATAACCTCTCTCCCTATATTCGGAGGTCTTGGGGGGGGCACACTCGTCGCCTCCTTGCTACACCCATTTATGGCACTGTACTCCGGATTTTCTCAGTGTTTGAGCCAAGGTGATTTAAGTCTGTGGCAAAACAGAATCCAAAAGCCCCAGGGCAACAGTGGGCTGAAACCAGGCTGGCCACTGAAGGAAGGTAACAGGGGAAAGGGGGGGGGGGGGAGAAGGGAATAAAAAGGTTGAATTCAGAATGGGGAAAACCCCCGGAATAAAAAGAAGGTTGAATTTGATTTTAGTGCAGAACTGCTTGGAGGACACAGCGGTGAATGTAGATTAAAAGGAGAGTGTGGAAATGGCCAGTGTGTGCTTTTATGCACATGAAAGCTCACCTTGAATAAAACTTTGTTGGTCTTAAAGGTGCCACTGGTCTCAAACTTTGTTCTGCACCTGAAATCTCTCTTTGGGAGGGAGTTACTGAGCAAAAGAAACCTCGGACTGTCATTCCCAAGATTTGGTACCTCTACCTCAAGGGCCCCATCCCTGATTATCAACTGACTTGCTTTGGAAGATGGAACATGCAGAGAAGGACTTCTGATGAGGATCTGAGTGAATGGGCAAGTGTAAAACTAATAACCCACAGATTAAGAACATAAGAAGAGTCCTGCTGTATCAGACCAATGGCTCAACTCGTCCAGCATCCTTCCTGTTTCACACAGTGGCCAGCCAGTTCCTCTGGAGTGCCAACTACAGGGCGTAGAGGCCGAAACCTCCCCCTGATGCTGCCTCCTGGCTCTGGGATTCAGAGGTTTAGTGGCTCTGACAGTGGAATTTCCCCTCAGTTGCCATGGCTAGTAGCCACTAACAGACTTATTCTCCATGAATCTATCTAGCTTTTAAAGCTGTTTATTCTTGTGGTCATCATTACATCCTCTGTCATCAAATTATACATTAATTAATTTATCTGAAGGCAGGGCAGGAACAGGTTAAAGTGTTGCTAATTAGTATAGGGTTCCCAGGTCTTACCTGGCTGCTGGCAGGGGTCTCCAGCTTGAATCCCTGGGTCTCCTGGCGTGTGTGCTTTGCATGCATACTGCAATGACATCACCCTCAGGTGACATTATCATGCCAGGCATGTCGTGCAGGGGACACACTAGCATTTGGCCAAAAACTCTACGATCACCATAGAGTTTTTAGCCAAATGCTAGAGTATGCCCCGCGTGATGTGCCTAGCGTAATGACATCACTTTTGGGTGATGTCATCATGCCGGGCACATTGGGCATGACGGGGCTCTTTGGGGGCAGGGCTTCCCTACCAGCCAGCTGGCTGGCAGTGGATTGGGGTCCTCAAAAGTGGGGAAACTGTGCCCCCATCAGAGGGATGACAACCCTAAGTTAGTAGGCGTGGAGTAACATCTCACTGAGTGCTGTCTTTTCTGCACAAAGGTTTTTATGACCTGGGCATGCCCACATCTGTGAATCAAAGGGATCTTATCCTTTGGCTGTTGGCTTGAGGATTGGAGCCTAGAGGTGAGCAGAAGATGAGCTAGCAGGGAGAGCCTTGTTTGGCAGTAAATTGAGCTATCCTGGAGAGGAATCCTGTATGCAGGAGATGACCTTGCGCTTAATAACAGAACTTGGTTAAATGGGCAAGCTGTGTGCATTGGGATGCCAGCCTCCTGGTGGGACCCGGGGATCCCACAGAATTACAGCTCATCTCCAGACTACAGAATGGATGCTTTGGAGGTGGACTCCATAGCATTGTACCCAACAGAGATCCCTGTCCTCCCCAGGCTCCACCCTCCAATCTCTAGGAGTTTCCCAGCCTGGATCTGGCAACCCTTCCCTCCCTATCCCTCGACAGTGATCAAGAGGGACCTGGCAACCCTATGTGTGCCTTACGAGCGCTATGAAATTCTATCCAACACTGACTCTATACTTAGTGCACCATCTAAAATTAATCCTTATAATTGCTAATATAAGGACCATAATGTTTTTCTTTACTTCTGCTTTTGGCCTTCCTAGGAACTTGTGTGTTACGATTAGTGCTAGAGACAGTCTGAATAATTGCTGGTTTTGAACATATAAAAGGGAGAGCAGTCACTGTACCTTCACCCCTCTGCTCCTTGCTGCAACCTGATATCTTTTTGTACCAGGCATGATCTAACCCAATTAAGTCTGCAAAACACCTCCTCCATTCCATTTTAAGACCATTATAAACAGCAGCCTAGGGTTTTCTATTATGCTGAGCACCATTTCTGCCCCCCCCCCGTTTCTTGTTAACATTGCACCTAAAGAACGGTTCTGGTGAACTCAAAAGCTTTTTAAGTTGGTTCCAGTAAAGATATTATACTCCTGTATACAATCAATTATTTATTACAGTCATAGACCAGCAGAATAAAACATATGTACTCATGTATACAGTAATTGAAAATGATTTCGTTCACAACTTAATGGCAAATCACAGTTTGGATCTACATGGACAGTCTTGAGCTTGTGTTCTTTTCTCCTCCCTTGTGTGTTGCAATTACTTCCTTATGTTTCTGATTCAAGACAAGCAATAGTTTGCTGTCTATTCAAACTGGGGGTAAGAAAAGAGTTTGCACTTGTCCTCTAAACTAGGATTTGAACCTAGTATGTCTCAGTCTCCTGGGGCCCGTCATATGTGCGTTCTATGTATATTCTTCTTCTTAGCTCTTGGGTGATGGAGCTTGCTGACTGTAGTGACAGAAATGTTGGAATGGCTAACTTTCAGAAGAGTGGCATGTTAAACAAACTGGGATCCATCACAAGAGAATCTGGGAGTGAAGGTTTCATACACAGGTTGTTTTATTCCACACTCTGCTTTAGTACAATTACAATGGCGTTCATTGTCCCTTGCCACCTGCTTTCTGGGGAAAATACGGCCAAGGTGTTCTTTGGTGGTGCTTAGTATACTCCCACTAAAGATTCACATCACCCTCCCCTCATTATCTCTTTCTCCCACTACTCTGGCTGATGCTTCTTCTGCTCCTTAGGATATTCTCTCAAGCCATCTTCTGTGCACCTTCCCCATCCTTCCTCATTTCCTCTGAGCTGCCTATCATGCCTTTCCACACCTCCCCCCCTTTCTTCCAATCTGGCCCTTGCTGACTTTGTATGTGCTTCTTTAAGAGGCTTAGGCCATTCTCCCCATCCACTTGGGGACATCCTTCCTTGCCTCCTGGCAAGCAGATTCCACCTATTGCTAGCTTTACCCTGGGCCATGGGGGAAGTGAGGGACATTACCCTCCCATTCTTGGGAAAGGTGAAGAGTGAGTTACTCAGCACAGGAGCAGAAGGGCAGCTTGAATTCCCATACTCAGTCTCCACCATCGGGGATGACTACTAGGGCAATCCTCTTGTCTAGAGTTTTCCTTGACTTAAGAGTGGTTGGCTGTCAAGGTAATCACACCTCTGCCTGCGGAAGCCCAGTGGTTGTGCCTACAGGTGCTAATTACTGCATTCCTAACCACTGTTAGGTTATGACATTAACAGAGCCAGCTAAGGCCCTGTGGGCTCTTCCTCTATTGCTATCATTTGGCTTTTGATGTTGGTGATGGAACAGGATAGGGTACTAACTAGTTTTAATTGGACCACAGGATTGCCTGCTTCAGCCTGTTTCATAATTTTGAGCCATATTGTCCATTGCCACTTCTTCTAAAGGTGTTTCAAATTGAAGACAATTACTTAATTTTGAAACTTCTATTTCAAGAAAGGATCGTTTTCGCCCCCCTTTGCCTGTTGCCCTTTTAACTGAATGCCATGCTGTCTTAGAGTACTGAGTCAGGGCTGTCAAAAACAAAGGTCAGACTTTTAGACTTGAAATTCCAGAATGGGGACATTATTTACGCCATGACTGTGAAATGACTTGCACTGGATTAATTCCATTTAAAATCTGCAGTCCTATTATACCCAGCAAGTGTTAGAACCAAGCAACAGCTACACACTCCAGAGTAATGGACCTCAGGATTGCAGACTCCTTTTCAGAGAGAGTGAAAAACCTGTTTCTCACATTAACAAATGTCTTTTGCTACTGTGAAAAACCACTTGCATATTCCGAAGGGTTTTATTCCCCATAATAGCTGTGCCAGTTTTCCCCAAAGAATTACATCATAATCTTTCTTTGGATATTCAGATGTAGTATTCATTTAGATAATACTGCTTTGGCCACTGTTTGAAGATGTTTATCAAAATTGTTAACTGAGGCTGCCACAGTAGCCTTTCTACAGTAGGTTAATCTAATGCAGCTCATAACTTGTTGAATATAAAATGCTCCTTTTTGTGTATGTATACAAGAGTGTAATAACCTCTCTCTCTCTCTCTCTCTCTCTCTCTCTCTCTCTCTCTCTCTCTAGATAGCCCTTCAGCTGATGAGCTAAATTGTTTTATTGGACTGTTCCATGTTATCTTCATTAAGCATGGATAATGAAAAAAATCAGAAGAATGATGAAAGTGACAAGAATGTACCAAGTGAATCAGTACAAGAAGCAACTAAAAATGTTTTTCCTGAAATGCTTCACAGTGATTCTTTCTCTAACCACAAAATAAACAGATTTTCAACTGAAGGACAGAGAAACCCTGAGAAAAAACCTGAAGAGAATGGTGCAGCCAAAAGACTGTTACTTGAATCTGCAGATCAAGACTTCATTGAAACAAATATACTGGAAAATGAACCTGTCTCAAAACGATTAAAGCTGACTGTTTCAGAACACACCAAAGATTATGAAAGCAAACTACCTAGTACCCCAGTGCGTGAAGATTCTGTTGATGGGAGCAGCTGTACTGTAGATAAAGCTTTTGAAGGGATAGAAAGATGTCCCTGTAATGATGGGTTTGTTTCAAAAGTTTCATGTGTACCTGAAGGTGATACTCCACAGGAAATACATGAGGAAACGGGCCATTCCCAAGAGGATGAAACAGCTAATCCTGTGTCTAAATCTTTTTTCCGAGATGATGAAACAAGTGTTAGCTGTACAACTGGTAGCACTGTAGATGTTTCTAAATGTGAAACCTGTGAAAGAGTTTTTTCCACTTATACTGATTTAGAAAAGCATATTCAAGAAACCCATCTGATGCAACCCAAAGAATATGTCAGCCCACAGAGGGCTCGTAAATCAGAACACATTCCATCTTTAAAAATGCGTGTCAAGCAGGCTCATGGGCAACTTAAATTATATTTTTGTGATCTCTGTGGTTTTCAGTCTTTTGAGGAAGATCTCTTGCGAGGTCATTTTCTTGGCAAGACCCACCTCCGAAGACAAAATCTTGCTGCCCGGGGAGGATTTGTAAAGATATTGACGAAAAAATCTTTTCATAAAAAACAGCAGAACCCATGTCAAGGAAAGAATGCAAGAGTAAAATCTACAGTTAATAATAAGCCTAAAATAAGGAATACTGATTCAAATCAATTGATAACTTCAAATAACACAGCAAACAACTTGAAAACGAGCAGCCAATTGTTTGTTGAAATGACTCCATCTAAAGATATTTCCAGAGAGAGTGTTAACAACGAGGAAGTGTTTTTCTGCAATGCAGATGGAAATCATGATGTCCAGGCTGAACAGAATATTTCAGAGTCCTCAGACTGCAATCCAGATGTATTGGAGCCTGTTAAGGGTAACCAAGAGAAAGTTAGCAATTTAAGCACCACAGGGATGTTTGACAGATTCCAACAAAAAAGAAATACCTTGGCACGAAGAATAACTTTCAAACAAAGTGGTTCGTTCAGACTAAACCAGCAGATTAAAAGACGGTATCATTTGCTGGGCATTGGTAAAAGAAGCAAGCCCGATTCCAGTTTGAAGCACAGCACTGGGGAAGAGTGCAGTCAGGATGATTTGTCACAGGTCTCCTTAAAAGTGTTAGAAATGGAAGGTGATGTTAACTCTTTAGGCAAAACAGCTTCAAACAAACAGGAGCTTAATCCAGATAGAACAGAAGCATGCTCTCTTGCCATGGAATTTGACAATTCTAAAAAAAACCCTCCAGACATCCAGAAACCTCTGCATCCTTATAATCCCTGTGGGTGTAGCTTGCAGAACCTCAAAGGCTGGACATTAGTTGTTGATCGAGAACATGGGGAAGAACTGAAATTTCATTGTCGAACATGTGGCTGTTCTTACACATGTAAAGAAGACTTTGAAGAGTACTGTCAAAAGAACAGCCAGCATATGGATGGTTTCAAGATGAATTGCTGTCATTGTTCATTCCTTGCCCCAAATTACATAAGCCTTGGGAAACACATGCGTGATGAACATGGCATGTCCCGTTATTGTGGTACCTGTCACCTATATTTTCTAACCGAAGATGAAATGGCAGCTCATAATGCAGCTGAGCAGCATGTTAGTTTATTATCTCAAGAAAATACTTTTCAGCCATCTAACAGCGAAGTGGCTGTGCAAACAGCATCCTGCACTGTGATGGAAACAGGTAGTATTCCAAAGGTAGATTGTGACGAAGTGCAAATACGGCAAGAAGTCACCAGGTCCTCTGTTGTACATCCTGGTAATGAGTTCAAGGAATCTATCTTGAGTAGAACCCAGTTTCAGTGTAAAAAATGTTTTTATAAAACCAGATCATCTTCTGTTCTTACAAGACACATAAAACTTCGACATGCTCAGGAATACCATTTCCTTTGTAAAGCATGCAATCTGTATTCATTAAGCAAGGAAGGAATGGAAAAACACATCAAGAGAAGTAAACACCTTGAAAATGCCAGAAAAAATAATATTGGTTTACGTTTTGAAGAATGTATTGAAAGGGTATGTCTAGGTGCAAGTGATGGTAAAAAACTAACAGAACCACTAGTGTATGGGAATTTAAAGACTGGATCTGAAAATGAAAGTATGCATGTTCCATTCTGCACTTTAGAGAATGTATCAATAAATAAGGAGTTGTTTCCATCAGGTGAAACCATTAAAGATAGTGAGTTGGTTCTGGATAGTGCACCAAAAAGAGGGAGACCTAAAGGCACTATTTCTCGGACATGCCCTCATTGTGGTTTATTGGCTTCCAGTGTCACAAACTTGACTGTCCACATTCGGCGAAAGCATAGCCATCAATACAGCTATTTGTGTAAAGTATGCAATTATTATACTGTAACTAAAGGTGACATGGAACGCCACTGTGCTACTAAGAAGCATAAGGGTCGTTTGGAAGCCAATGGAAAACAAAATGTAGAGATCATTGTATGCCCAGAAGGAGGCAATGTTGAAGTGAATAGCAAGAAGGTAGCAAGTCCTGTGAGTATTTCGAATGAACCTGTTGACCATTGCAATCAGTCTTCACATGTGGACATTTCTGTTTTGGGAAGCCAGGAAGATGATCAGCTCAGTGCCATTCAAATGCAGGCTGAAAATGTACTTCAGCTTCATGAACTGCATAGAAATCAGGGCTCTGCAGAAATAAAGCAACAAAGAATTGCAGAACTGGGTACTACTAGCCAAGATGGAGACTTGTTGACTCAAACAGGAGTTGCAAATACAAATGATAATCAGTGTAATTATTGCAATTTTGTTGCACACTCTTTTTCTTCTCTGGAAGTTCATGTAAAACGCAAGCACACTAAAGAATTTGAATACTACTGTATGGCTTGTGACTATTATGCAGTTACTCACCGAGAGATGATTAGGCATGCAGCAACTGAGAAGCACAAAATTAAAAGACAATCTTATACTTGCACTTCTGGAGAGGAGACAGATGCAACTGACATTGCCAAAGAAAAAGCTGTAACGTCTCAAGAAGAACATCAGCCCATGGAAGATTTTCAAACTGCATTGAGTGAAATAAAATACAAAAACAATATTGAAGAGAAAACCCTTGGAGAGCAGGAGACTCTGAAAGTGGAGAAGTTGTCTAAAGCTGCTACAGAAGATAGTGCTGCTTCAAAGGGTTTTAAAGAAGACCATGTCTTTGATGGTGTAGATGTTGAGCTTGAAGGTGGAGCTGACCAAGGCAGAGAAAATGTAGATGTTGCGGGTTTCCAAAAAACTGTTCAAAAAGGTGTAGTAGTTAAGCTTAATGAAATGATTGCATTTAAACAAGCTATTGGTAGCGTTCTGCAGGAAAATGAAGACGCTCAAGCAACAGTGAATACAAATTTTGATTTTACAACAGGATCTGGAAATAAAAACTTGGCTTTTGGCAAAGAATCTTTGAACTTGAACTTCACAAACAATAGGAACAACTTGGACGAACATACTGAAAAAGAATTTGGAAGCCCTGAGCCAGCTGCTGAGGAGGTGAAGGCAGAAGCCCATTTGACTGTACTTTCAGAAACATGCAGCCCAGCAGAAGAGCAAAATATGGATGAAAGTGCTGAAGAGGCTATGCAAAATATGCATACCTTACAAGAAGAAAAAAACTTTCATGAAGGTTCTACCATAGAGGAAGAGCACTCACTGATAGATGCACAACATGAAGCAGAAGTGTCTATTCACACAGTTTGGGATGCTGATGGCTCCACAGTCGAAGGTATACAAGACAGTAGCAACGAGGCTGTGAACAACTTTGCCAGTACTTATCTTAGAGTGAGGGAGGGCACAGCAGTACAAAGCAGTGGCCAGTTTGATTCTTCTATAGTAAAACTAAAAAGCCACGAAGAAGGTTCTGAACCAGTGGATCATTTTGTGGAGGGACAGAATCTAAGTGGACTGAAAGTCTGTGATTTAGCCATGAAAGCAGAGGCCTCACAAAGCGGCGGGAAAAAGAAGAAAGCCGAAGGAAACCCCCTCAAGGAATCTACCCGTATTCGCTGTGATGACTGTGGTTTTTTAGCAGACGGTTTGAGTGGACTAAATGTTCACATAACCATGAAGCATCCTTCAAAAGAGAAACATTTCCACTGTTTACTGTGTGGGAAATCATTTTATACAGAAAGCAACCTTCACCAACACCTGGCTAGTGCTGGCCACATGAGAAATGAAGAAGCCAGTGTGGAGGAGTTGCCAGAGGGCGGCACTACTTTTAAATGTGTTAAATGCACAGAGCCGTTTGACTCTGAACAAAATCTTTTTCTTCATATTAAAGAGCAACATGAAGAACTGCTCCGGGAGGTCAATAAATACATTGTCGAAGACACTGAACAAATCAACCGGGAGCGAGAAGAAAATAAAGGCAATATTTGCAAATATTGTGGGAAGATATGTCGAAGCAGTCACTCCATGGCATTCCTAGCTCATATCCGCACACATACAGGTATGTGTCAAGACCTTGCTTTTTTATTGCTTGTATTTTCCCATCATCATTCATTTAGTTATAATCATTAACCCCACTAATGTATTTGGGGTCACCCTGAATATATTAGTTTTATGTTGGCTGCTTGATATCCCACAGCGGAACTTTCAGAAGTACTCTTTAGGTGAACGTAGCAACTAGAACCAAAAGCATACTACTGGATTCCTGGAATGTTCTTAACTGTGATTTCCTCATCATGATCAGTGTACATTTTACAGATACCCCCATACAATTAATTAATTGGTCTATAGCTCATAATAATGTGAACCTTCTTTTTAAATTTGGGGAACATTTACCTGTTTTTATTTTGCTTCCCTAATGATAGGTGGTGGAAAGTGCCATCAAGTCACAGCTACTTATGGTGACCCCGTGGGGTTTTCAGGGCAAGAGGTGTTCAGAGGGGGTTTGCCATTGCCTGTCAATGTGTCAAGACCCTGGTATTCCTTGGAGGTCTCCCATCCAAAGACTAGCCAGGGCTGACCCTGTTTAGCTTCCAAGATCTGATGAGATTGGTTTAGCCTGGGCTATCCAGGTCAGGTCAGGGTCAGTGTTCCCTCAAAGCTGTGTGCGTGAGTGGCCGCTCATTAACATAGGAAGTCCCACTCAGCAGCAGTCTGGAACCGCACAGGGTCTTGCATTGCCCATTGCCCATTTTAAGATTGCAGCAGTTATATTCTGCTCAGGATGTGAACTACTCCACTCAGTAGGGGGGAAAGTAGAGGAAACATTGGTCAGGTGCTTGTTACCTTTTTTCATTTTAAAGCATCTGGGCTCCCTCTGCTTCATTTTTCTTTTTTATTTTTCTTTTCCCTCCCCAAAAGATTAGTGTTAGAAGAGTACTTACAACAATATTGTTTCTGATGTGCTGTGGGGACTGTTTAAGCAGATCCAGCCATAGAAATGAGCAAAGTCAGCAACTAGCAGGGCTCACATGTTGGACCACCCAAAATTTCAAACATGCTCACTATGCTGCCAGTGAGGGAGCCTGGTCTTGTTGTAGGAAATATTTTTGCAAGTATGAGCCTCTGCATTTGGAACAGTTGGCAGTTGGGCGATTTCCTTTACGTGCTTCCTTCCTGTCCCAACTTTTTTTTGTCATGGGCCTTGTGGAACCCATCCAGTCACAACGTTGTGTTGAGTGGAAAAGGAAGAAAGGATTGCCTGCTGTTTGGTCATAAAAGAGGTAGGTGGATAGAAGAGGGACTGAGCTGGACTTTGGGCAGGATATGCAAAGAAAAAGGGGGAAGAAAGGAAAGGAGCGGAAAGGGAGCAAGGAGAGACACTTTAAGCTGGCTAGTCTAGTGCATCTCTTTCAATAAAGGACTTTGGGTACACTCCATATCCACCAGAGCATGGCACACCACCTGTTCATTTGAGTTACACCCAGATTGTCAATGGCCAGGCAAAATAAGAGGAATGCAAAGAGAAGGCAACTTCCTGCCCGTGACTTCTCCCCATCTCTGTCCTCCACCATCCCTCAGTATTTCTTCCTTTCCTCTTCAGTTATCATAACTCTACCTGAAAGATGCCTTATCTCTTTAGAGAGGGGAGAAATGGTTACTTCAGCCAAGCACCTTGTATTTGTGCTCCAATTGGTTGGGCATCAGGGATATGCAAATGCCTGGCCCTCAAATCCCAGTTCCCACCATCCTCTCCGGCTTAGGGTTCCTCATACCTGCTGTATGTTCAAAGGTCATACCTGCTTTGTAAGGATTCGTTATATCTGCTGTATCCCCAACTCCCACCATCCTCTCCAGCTTAGGGTTCCTTATACCTGCTGTATGGCCTTTGAACAGCACTGCTAGAAAGGAGTCTCCTGAATTAGAGATTTAGTTCTTTCCCTCATTGTTTTATAACACTGTTGTTTGTGTTTAGCAGAGCCTACTGTTGGCCTCTTGCTTGGGGCCCACAAAAAACTGAAGCTGCCCCCATGATAATGTGCCCTGATTAGTTCAGGCATTGTCTTCTGTTCCCTAACCGATCAATGCTTTAATATCATTCATTTAGCAGTAGAACTGTTACAGGTGTCAATGAAGGTAGTGGAAAGAGTTGGGAGAGGGATGAGAATAACAGAAGTGAGAGAAAGATGATGTGGGTGGGAATTAAGTAAATCTGTGGACAGAAGGGTTATATAAAGAGGCAGGGCGCTATGCACACTTTAAAAGTATCTCCGTTGTAACTACAGTGGGGTGACAGGAGGATCCCTTTGTGAGCTGCATTCTCCCCCCCTCCCCATTTTCTTCTTTTTCCTGTCTGCAGGTCTTCTCTGCCTGCTCTTCCCCTTAGATATGAGTTCGGTTTAAAAATGTTTCCCAAGTCTATATATTAAAAGAAATGAGTGGTGATAGCACTGGAACCCCATACACCCCCCCCCATTATAACATAACCCCAGAACTTGTGGAGCCTCTGAAAATACATGAGTTTGAAAACAAAATATTAATTTTGTATCAGGTGCATAAAATCCTGTAAGCAGACTTTGGATGGGATCTCTTCCCACCATGAAATCATCAGTGTTACATTAGTCACTGCCACTAGCCCCAAATCTTTGTTGGCCTTGTAATATGGCTTTTGGGGAGGGAGCATTTGGAGTGGAGAATCAGTGGGGAAGAGAGGTTGCTTAAGCAAGAAGAATTAAGGGGCAAGAAGAATTACGAACACCTCCTACCTGCTGATTCTCACCACACATATGTGTGACCTTCGGAATAGGAACCTACAATTGCTAGGTGATTATGGGGTGGGGTTTTATGTACAGGCTGGGAGATGATGGCTTGTGATGGCTTTCTCTGCGGCCTGTGTACTGAACCATTAGCAGGCTGGTAAAATATTCCCCTTTTGGCAACCCTAGACAAATGCCTTAAACGATTTCCCCCTTTTGGGAATAAGTGTCCAACTTTCACATTTAACAATTGGATGGTGGGTATTTGTTTTGTGAAGACTGCTTAGTGGGGAAATGAGTGTATGATCATCACAGAAATGGGAACTGGTCATCATCAAGATGGCCGTGGTTGCAGTAATGCAGTACCTGAGATGATTGGGGCCTGGTGATTTAAACTCCATGCTGTGCCACACTTTCTGTCCTCATTTTATGTTTTATATTAAGTGGAAAAATTTAAAACAACACTTTTGTCAAAAATGCATAAGCTGCAGTTCTAAATTTATGTAAAAATTCACTGCTATGTTTCTATAAACCTGCCATACATTCTTTATTTTAAATAGACAGCTTTTCTAAATCACTGAGCTCTGCTTAGACAAGTGGTGTCTCTCTGGTTGAATTTATGAGTGGATTTGAATAATAAATTCACATTTCAATGAACATATTTTCATTAAAACTGTAAGGTTTATTTTACTGTACTTTTAAATAATGGCTTATTATAGAAGCTGTAGTTTAAATTCATGCAGTAGTTGAAACTTAGTGCACAGTTTTTACTAGAAAGACAATGAATAGGTAAGAAATGCAAAAACATTATAAAAGATTATTAGTATTCTCAGTGTAATCCTAAAACAGGATTTTTTGTTTGTTTCTTTAGAAGAAGCCAAAGCAGAGTCTAGGCAATGGGTTTTAAAATCCAGCCAGGGAGACCTGGCGTTACTTTTAAGCATCATCAGGTGTCTAGTTGTAACTACAGTATTTTTGCTTAACCCCCATGTGGAGGCATTTCAGCCTCTTTTTAAAGCCTGCCAAGAGTATATTTGTGTGTTATGTTTCAGGAAACGTTTGAGTTTTGAATCTGCTGATGAGTCTTTAGCAGGTAGTCATGTTCACATGGTCAGAACGGTTTTTATAAGCCCTTAATATGCCCTCTTAAGGCAATAAAATGGAATAAAACTACAAGGAAGATGCTAATGGAGCTCTCTTTAGAATTCTTTATGCAACTGTCTGGTCAAGACATGTTGCTTATAATTGATGTGTCCATTACTTGAATTCTCTTGTAATTATAGTCAATAAGTCTTGTAAATGTGTTAAAGCTCACTAAAAGCATACAAATTCAAGAACAGAGTAAGGCTAATAATTTAAAATAATCAATGTAGGCATTTCAGCACTTAATTTCCCTTGTGTGTTGATAGCTGATCATTCTTAATCCATTAAGATTTATTTAGTCGTTTACAATGCAAAATAGGTTTGCACTGGTCACTTGTGCCATTTGAAAATGTCCACCAGGTTAAGTGCAGAATGTAGTCCATTAGTCTTCCTTGACTATATGTATTAATTGCATTTAAAATCAAGTTAATGTGGATGTGAAAGTGAGGTAACTATCAATATATGACAAAGCAACCCTACTTACATAAGTTACATCATTGATTGTAACATTTAGTAAAAGTTAGCACACTTTTTAACATCCTGTGTACGTCTTATCAGCCTGTATATTTTTTATTGTGCTTTGCATTAGATGTGAATATACAGAAAAACAGGTTTGGGAGTTGACAACACATATCTACCATTTCATTTTGCAAGTCATTTTTGGGGAAGAGTTGCAGAATGGTGTTTAATCTATTCTCTTTCTCAGTGCACCTTAAAATGAATTGCTTTTCTGATAACTTTGCTTATGCACATAAAATAGTAATGCTGGTATTTTTATTAATAGTTAACTGGAAGAGGTTTTTACTCTTCCAATTCCTGTTTTCCCCCCCTCTTCATACTTTTTGATTTACTGAATGCTTTATGTAATGTTTCTTCCCATCTTCTGTACAATAAAAGTAGTTCTGTATGAAATAAATGGGTTTTGGTCATCAAGATTGGGAGGCAGAAGAATAACACCACAATGTATTCTCTTGTGTGGAGAAAAATGGCAGGAGCAAATTACGGTCACATCTGCGTTAGTATAATATCAGATTTCCATATGATATTTATATGCTCTTGAATTCTTTTGATTCCATTGCATGTGCTTGCATCTTAAAATTGTCACTTTCTCCCACATGAGCCCCCCTCTACCAGTGATTCCAAATTGTAGAAAATAAAGGTT